CATTTTTGGTTCACGGGCGTTACATCTTCCATAGAGATCAAGGATGCAAACTCTACGTCTCGTTTGGCCTAATTTTCTCTTATTGTGATCACTCTTGGTCTGATTTTTTCACCATTCTTTAGTTTTGATTTAATCTATCTTGATTAAGGGCTTCTTCGGTCTTAATCTAATTCAAGAGCACGCCAAGTGTATTTTAAATCGGACATTGATACTTCTAGCTTAAGTATCTTTTTCTTCTTGAATCAGTCTTAAATGTATGTGCGCATCATAAAAGAACTAGATATGTATAGGAAAAAAAAGATATAAAGAATGGTGGTTTCAATGATGGATTTTGAATGAAAAATGGTTTATTCATACACCAGCTATAGGTCACAATTATAATTCGAACATGAACTATATACGTATACCATTTTATACATCATCTTATACAATTTGGCTAAAATATAAATTGATTTGTCAACATATGTTAAGTTAGTTGCCACGTTACCGATTCATTAATAATGGAGTCCAACATCACATGAATCATCAATAGTCAGCTAACACATCATCAAAATGTTTTTCATCATAAAATTCAAAAATTACACTCAATCTATTTTATATGTAATAATTTTTCTTGACTTAAATAATAATTTACTTTTCTAAAAGTATTATATTTCCATCGTCTTCTCGAGAATAGATATACATGCACCATAAAAAAAAAATTGCTATGCTAGAGTCAGTCGAACTATCATAAATATGCTTTTTGGAGATTTTTCATCAGTAGGGTCATGAAGTTCAAGAAAGGGTTGAAAGAGAAGGCAAAGTGAATGAATAGTTATATTATTACCTGGATGTAAGATTATTTTTAATAATTACGATCTATGAAATGATACAAATTTTTGATACAAAATTAAATAGAAAGAAAAAAACTTTTTTAAGTTTTACTTAGTAAATAAATATATAAATTTTGAATTTGTTTTTTAGAATTTTTTGTACACTACTAGATATTTGTATAGTCTCTCCATGGCAAACTGATGATCATACATGACATATGCAATTATAG